TGCTGATACGGAGGCTCACTGCTGATACGAGTCGCTGATACGGAGGATGCTGATACGAGCCGCTGATACGGAGGATCCGCTTATACGAGCCGGTGATACGGAGGAGCTGGTGATACGGAGGATGCTGATACGGAGGATGCTGATACAGAGGATCCGCTGATACGAGTCACTGATACGAGTCGCTGATACGGAGGAGCTGCTGATACGGAGGATGCTCACCACCAGTGAAGGTGCGGATCCATCATGGGGGGGAGTTGCTGATACGGAGTATGCTGATATGGGGATGCTGATACGGAGGATACTGATACGGAGGAGGATGCTGATACGGAGGATCCGCTGATACGGAGGATCCGCTGATACGGAGGATCCGCTGATACGGAGGATCCGCTGATACAAGCCGCTGATACGAGCCGCTGATACGGAGGAGGCTCGCTGATACGAGCCAGTTATACGGCTCACTGATACGGCTCACTGATACGGAAATGCTGATACGCAGGATGCTGATACGCAGGATGCTGATACATACGCTGATACGCAGGATGCTGATACGCAGGATGCTGATACGAGCCGAGCCGCTGATACAAGCCGCTGATACAAGCCGCTGATACGAGCCGCTGATACGAGCCGCTGATACGAGCCACTGATACGGAGGAGGATGCTGATACAGAGGATGCTGATACAAGCCGCTGATACGAGCCACTGATACGAGCCACTGATACAGAGGCTCACTGATACGGAGGACGCTAACTGATACGGAGGACGCTAACTGATATGGAGGCTCACTGATGCGGCTCACTGATGCGGCTCACTGATGCGGCTCACTGATGTGGCTCACTAATACGGAGGCTCACCACCACTGATACGGAGGCTCACCACTGATACGACTCACTGATACGGAAATGCTGATACGGAGGATGCTGATACGAGCCGCTGATACCAGCCGCTGATACGGAGATGCTGATACACACACTGATACGGAGGATGGTACTGATACGGCTTCCGCTGATACGGAGGCTTGCTGGTACGGAGTACGAGCCGCTGATACTACGGCTTCCGCTGATACGGAGGATGCTGATACGGAGGCTTGCTGGTACTACGGAGGATGCTGATACGAGCCGCTGATACAAGCCGCTCCTGAATAAAAGAGCAATGTTAGATAGCTGTTAAGAAATAGTAAGCAGCAGTATTCCTATTAACACAGTTAGCAACACCCCTGGTACCAGTAGTATTGGGCCTGAGGTGCTTGTAGGAATCAGTAGTAACAAGGAGTTCGTGTGGAGGTGTTTATTTCCAGTAGTAAGCAGTATTCACAGTACTGTCGACTCGTAAAATTACAGGTTTTCATTCTCCAGTAGTTAGCACTCTTACGAGTACTTTGAAGTACTAATTAATTAAGGAGTGTACTTGTGTACTTCAAAATTTTTAAGTTTTTTGGTATTTCCCCTCCAGTAGTAAGGCTCACTCTTACAAATACTTGTATTGCAGGGAATTAGCGATAATTTGTGTGTGTGTAGAATCCTACGCACTTTGTAATGTGTATTTATTATTGTATATTTTATTACAGGTACCCACACGGTACTAAAAAAAATCTTAATATTATGTTTAACCTCGTGAACTAGAAGAGGCACTTGGGTGGCCCAAACCATAGCTTTCGCTAGAAAGAATACTAATAGTGCTTGGGAGTTTTTCCAGATTCAAGATTAAGAGGTATGTGGGGAGCTCTCGTGTCAGAGATCTTCTTGTTTTTAAGNTAGAAAGAATACTAATAGTGCTTGGGAGTTTTTCCAGATTCAAGATTAAGAGGTATGTGGGGAGCTCTCGTGTCAGAGATCTTCTTGTTTTTAAGTTGGAAGTACGAGCACTACGGTACCAGTTATTTCGAAGTAAAATGCGTTAACCGTAAAATCCTACCAGGGCCTACAGACCTCAATGTCATTCTACTCCAACAGAAAAAATTATTACTAGTAAAATCACGGTTAATTTTGAAGCCAAATATTCTAGTACTGGTCCTACACAGATCTACTAGTTTTCGGTCACTTTTACCACTACAAGAAACAGCTCAATGAGGTAAAATAAGCTAAATACAATAGCTCCAGAAAGGCTTGTAATGAGATCCCCTTTGGGGAAAAGCTTCTTAATAGTATTGGGAACAGCCCCATATATCATTGTTACACGATTAGGGGCCTGGGGAGAGGCTATTCACCATTAACAGCCGGTATGGCCAAAATTGGCCGGTTTACAAGACCGCCTGCTGGTTAGAAAATAGGCCAGATCTTTATCAAAAAACAACTTTAGACCACCAGACTAAGTGCCTAGACCAAGATAATTACTTAGTGATCCAGGTCATTGGGATGCTTAAGGATGCTCTGGCGGCTTAGAACTGGTCTGCCAAAGGTATACTAGTGGGTGGGTGAAAATCGCGCGTTAATTTTGGCTGTAATTTTATATCGAAATAACTGGTGCCGTATTTTTATCTGGGTTCTCGTGAAATCTGATGCTTATCCTCACTGCTGGAAAAAGACTCTTCGCCAACGCATCTGGAAAGAAGCGGTTTTCTAATCAGCCGCTTTCACTAACTACTCGGGATTCAGCCTCACACTTAAAACGACGAACGTCCATGGTGGCGTACCAGCCGGTATGGTAGATCCTTAAGTCACTAGTAGCATTGATATTATGTTTGCATAAGCGCTACCTCTTGGAAAAATCTGGAAAGAAGCGGTTTTTTAAATGAGCCGCTTCTTAAAACGACGAACGTCCATGGTGGCGTATGGTAGATCCTAAGTCACTAGTAGCATTGATATTATGTTTGCATACGCGCTACCTCTTGGAAAAAGTTCATGAAAAGTTTTCGTCACTTATTCAAACAGAAATATTATGATTGCTCTTATCGTCAAAAGAGAGTATTTTAATCGACAAAAATCGTGGCAAAAGTCTAGAATTCCCATGCGAAATTAAATTGCAATCTGCCCAATTCCTGGCGCAGAGTGTTCCAGGTCAAACTCGAAGTGAAAAAGTACAGTTGGGCTGCTTTTGTTGGCACTGATGCAATMTTGTACAAAAAAGAAAATGACACATAGTATTGTGAAAAACTGTGTTTTGTCGCGGTTGATGCGTTCGCTCCCGACCTCGCCCGATGCCATCAGCAAYGGTGCACTGTCCAACTAAAATGATGCATTATTGTTTGTCTATCGCGATTGCAAGTTGTCTTGCTGGTCAGAAGGTGGTCGGTTCGGGTCATAATKATAAAATGGTGGAGTGCTTCCATATGCAAAATTTTGMTGAGGCGAGTGTTCGGTTGATAGATCAGCACCTTGCGAATAGTCTGCGACGAACGCTTTTAACAAAAATCAATATTGTAAAATTCAAATTAGGGAATGGTCGAAGTGTCGAACGCGAGAATCTCTCATCCGATCCAAAATTTATCATGAAAAAAGGGGTAGAAAAAAGTATCAAAYAGACTGATATAMMGCACATACCTTGTTGATAGTAAGATTGTGGTGCGTAACCGTATGGATGGGTTTGTCCATAGTTGTCGTAGCCAATAGATGACCCTCCATCATATCGTCTGTCGTAATTATCATATGTGACCAAATTATTTCCATGCGTTTGGTATGTTGCTCCGTATGAATTTCTGTGATTACCAGGAGCGTTACCATAGGAATCAGTTGAAGTTTGATGTTCGGGATAGTAGTACGAAGAAGAGGCAGCCCCTTGTGTGTATGGCTGCGGCTGATTGTTTTGGGGGTACTCATTATTTGAGAAGCTGTAATTTGACAAAGGCTGGGTAGATCGAGTGATGTTGTGTGATGAATGGGAACTCATGGTGTAGCTATTGGCTGCCGATGGTCCAAAAGTATCACTTGCCATTTTGGTGCTATAATTGATCCCCATGGTGTCGGTGGAATCTGCGGCGCTGCCTACATTATTGTTTCTCGATTGCTGCTCTTCGTTTCGTACCGGAAGTTTACCTTCTCGCACAGCTTTCAATGCTTCGTTCTCGCGCTCTTCTCTCTTTGATTTGATTTCCTCTTCAGACTGTCGCTTCCATTCTGTCATCGCTTTTTTGTATTTTTGTCTCAGCGCAAATTCTTCGTCAATAAATGATTTCTTCTCTTCTGCATCGGCTCCTTTCCACATTTGAGCTAAGATTCTCGATATTTCTGCATTTTTAGCGTCCTTGTACTTACTCTTGACTTCCGATCGTTTTGAGTTCGAAAAGGACAAAAATGCGGACATGGGACGCTTTGGTGCTTTGGGATCCTTGCTTATCCGTTTAGTAGCCGGAACTTTCCAAGGACCAGTGTACATTGACTTCTCCATTTCATACCTAGCTTTATCTTGACGTGCCATCTCTTCCCATTTTTCCCGTTCGTCTTCTGGTAATGCTTTCCAGGCCTGAGATACCATCTTGGCTACTTCTGTCGTTGATAACTGCACAYGTCAAAAAAATCACGATTTTGAAGCAAAAAAGTAAAAAGCGACACGTCTTGAGAAAGAAAAACGTCGAATGATCGACAGAAAATAGAAGAAAAATAGAAAGGACTGCGTGCGCAACATTGAACGGGGTTTCCCATATGTTGCGATTGCCTTCTCACCTTTTGCCCTTCTCCCTTTTCGGACAACTCCTCTCTTATCTCCTTGTGTTTYTTCGTTGAGAAAAACATATATGAACTTTTGAATCGTCTTGGTGCTTGAGGGGCCTTCTTGTATTTCACTGGGGCAAATTGCCTCATGTGAGGCGTCGACCTATTTGTGCTCATTTTCGTCATCAACATAGATTCCTATCGTTGTGTGGTGTATCGTTGTACACCGAAATGCTAGAATAGAATGAAATTTAAAATGCCGATRGTTGAAAAGATGATGACCGAGCAACAAAGGTGGTATGCACGTCTCGGCAGCGACCCACTCTCACTTGACCTTTTACCAAAAARTAGTGTCGACGCTTTAAGTGGATTGGATTGAGGCTTTTCGTCGCGAGAAGTAACGGTTAAGGCGGCTCCCGTTTCCAACGCACTTCTCTCGGTAAGAACGAATTGTCCACCTTTRTATGCAGCGACACGTCGTTTCCAGTTCAGTGCAATCTTCTACGATTTCGATGGATGAAATTTCGGACCGTCGTGATTTAGGCTGACAAGGATGCCCTTGTTGATGACAACTCCTGATCTTATCGTTAGCGTTGGGGATCAGTCCACTACGGTAYGAGTTAACGGAAATTGAAACGAAAATATCATCAAAACCTCCTTGGAACAACTGGGAAAAAAGAAGATTGCAACAACAAATGAAACAATTCTATTAAAAAAAAAGTTGAAGAAGAATGTTAAATTCGTCGCTGTGTCATCCAAAAAAGAAGTTACGTAAACGGAAATCTCAATAAGTGCTTCACGTGTTCATAGAACATTTGAATCGCTGATAAATGCCTTATGTTGATGTTCTTTCTTCTTCAGAGMGGATTCTGACCAAATAGCACTAATCAAAACAAAAAATGTATCCCTGGTAGGTTTGATACACTGACGCGTAGTCCGTTTCTAGTTCTAAAGAATTCATTGCGAAGCTGAGAAGTTCGGTGTAGGGCTTTCGCCAGACCGATACAGCACGGTACGCTGTACCGTACTACTTGGTACTTACTCGTATGGACGTTGAATCGCTCGAGTGGTTTACTATCTGTTCATGGAGCATCGAGGAAACAAAAGGATGACTGGTGATTCTCTTATTATAATACCCCCTAAGATTGTCAGAAACTGTATCCAATGGACATATGTTCGGTAGGCATAAAGAACATCATTTTTTTATTTCTTGAATTATGCAACCCATGAGAAAATATCTGGAAAAACTTAACAATTTGAATTATRTTAAATGAGTTCAAAGTTCAAGAAAATCGAAGGAAAGACTTATTGCGCWTTTTTCGGTTCGTATAAATATTGTAACTTTTGACGAGACAAGGAAATACTACCATATGACACCACAGATATTTCTCATCGCGTTATATTTCTGACATACGTACTTATCGATCAGAATCGAGGACTCAGAGCAACTTTTTAAGGGACAGTGAACGGAATACATGACTTTATCAAAAATAGACTTCTTTGTTTTCGATMTCCTTGGCTGTTCTTCTTTCTTTTCATGAGAGGTGAAGTTGGGATCAATACTATTGGCGCCTTGGATTGATATTTGACGTCAGAACAAGGAAAAAGGGCAACATAGTATGTGTAATTTGGTATGATGGAGCTACTTCTACGTCGAAGTTCTTTCCGAACAGAAAAACTGGGACGTTCAGTATTGACGATTTTACCATGGAAGTCAGCTACTAGATCCGTGGTGGTAATGGAACTAGTAGTAGGTACCACTTCAGACACTATTTGGACCAATTTGAACAGTCCCATGAACTAAGTATGAATTTCAATACTCAAGGAGGGGCAGGGGGGGGCTGAGAGAATTCAAAAAATCTGGTAGCGTGGAATATATGTTGGTAAGATTTCTGGTTGCAATCTTGTAGCAATTATAGCTACCATCTGGTGGTAGCGGATATGGTAGCTGGTAATGGTTGTGGTAGCAAAGAAGTATGAAAACATTCTTATGGCTTTCTTTCTTCTCGTAACTAAAATTATTAGTATAAGAAGTGGCACTCATGTTACAGGGGTGAAAATTTTGAGTTCCTCCCCATTCCTGGAACTGTTTAAACCAACTCATTGTTGGACTGCTTTCACTCATTAAAAGTGCAGCAATAAGCAATAAGCAACAGCAACATGGTGGAACTACTACTACAAGACAGCAAAAGATTGTCCTCCTGGGCCTGTGCTATCAAAGAAAATTGCTTGCTGCTTTAACTTTTGGTCCTATCTCAGAACAAAAGGAAAAGAAAGTTGGATGCAGAACCCTAGAAACAACAAGCCATCATTTGTCTTCAATTACAGAAGCTCCCAATACATTCAAACTCACATCAAGCAATAAAGCTGGCCCAAGATTAGGAAGGTGGTATGTGGTTCTTGGCAGCGTCGGCTCCTTTGTTGCCGCTGGTATGTCTTGTTCTTACAATTGCTCTCCTCCCTTGTCCACTTACAACTCCCTTACTACCAACAGAGCATGACAACATTTGCTAGTATAGATCCACAGAACTGCAAAATCAAACTCATTGATCCATGCAGAGAATTCCAAGAAAAGTTAGCAGCAATATCAAAGAGGGAGGAGGAAGAACCTGAAGAACAAGAAAAATGACAAGAGGAATCACATAAGGAAGAGGAAGAGGAACAAAATGAAGACACTACTACTCCTACCATGCCATGGAAGAACACCAAAACAAATGATGACAGTGACGATCTTTACATTCTTGTCAAAAAATCCCTCCACATTTTTAAGGAACCAGTTCAGTACCTTTCTGGTAGATAGTAGGAAAGATTTGATCATGATACTGATAGTACAATATCCCTCTGATTGGTAAGGATGCTCATCCACACCACTGGTGCTGTRCAGGAGTMAGACTTCAGGCCATCATGGGTCAAGAAGAGGACCTCCTTCTGAGTCACATACAAGTGGCCTAGCTTCTTCATACAGAGATGTATTGTRCAGACTGACTTGGATATGACAACAGCCAAGGATGGAAGGGCTTACCAAACCTTTCCWGTGGGACATGCTTTGTATACAAGCATGGACAAGACAACAAAGAAGCTCAATGATGATGACAGCTGCATCTGGTATGAAGGTTTCTTCAAATTCAAGCATGATAGTATAGATACTACTATCTATGTTGCTGAATTCCTAACTATTGCCATAAGTGTACTTAATGGCAATAATGACTATGGAAACATCCTCCAAATTCAATTCAAGGAAAGGGATGAGGATGAGTCAAATGCCCCAGCAAGTTTCCAGTTTCCTATCCTATCCACTCACAAGAGGTGGAAATGTCAACCTRTGTAAGKTGCCGTCTGCTGCTGCTTCTGGTTYSCAACTGTGGTGTCCAACTACTCCTCCCACTTCTGCTGCTGGTGCTGCTGGTGCTGGCATTGGCTTAGTAGCAGTGCCAGGGGAGAAGAAAGAAGAGCAGAACACAAAAAAGAAACCCAGAACTAACAAGGATACTTTGCCTCCTCCTTTGCCACTYCTYCTTTCCTTGCCRCCACCAATGCCACCTTCTCTTCCTCCAAAGAATCATGAGGATGCAAAGAAGAGGTCAAGGGAAGACTCCTGTTGAGAACTACTGTGAAGAATTCTCAAAGTTCCCTTGGAGCCTGGATGGAAAAAGAAGAGAGCTTTCATTCATTCCATTTGTCCATTGCTGCTTCCTCTGGAATTGACCCAATCAGGTGCTTCCATGATGCCAAATCACTTGTCAGTGGATAAGAAYAGTAATATTCTTGTTGTTGTTGCTGGGGCTCCTAGAAACAATTGACATCATCATCTTATCYATCTGCAAAAACAMRTGCCCCCAKTTGGATTTTGAGCAGTATAATAACAGCAACAGCAAGGGAACACAGCTTATCCTAAAGAGTTGGCTAGCAGCAAATCTACGATCCAGTCCTAGATTTTGGGACCTTATTTTTCYGTGTAATGACTACTTTGACTAAAACACTGAATTGTATTACTGGTACAGTAGGACATGTGCTCAAATTTTATTCCCACCAGTCTTGCAACCAAATAGTAGTTTTGTGTGCATGTGCTCTTGCTGTACCATTAGTTGCTGCAGCAGTACAAGTTGA